CCAACAAAAACAATGAGAGAGCAATAGTTACTTAAGAAATTGATTTTCTGTAATTGTAATAAGCACGAACTTTAAGTTACTTGAACTAGTATCAAAAATGGCAGTTGCTATTAGCTTGATATTATTTATTTTGTGTACCAGCATACAGTTGACTTCCTGTGCCCCCCAACCATGAACTATTACTTGTTTACCCTTCCTAAAATTGGAATTTATACGTGATTAATATGACCAAAACAGATTTTAGGACACTAAAAATTATATTGCTCATGCTCTCGGAAGGGTTTAGTTTTAAGCATTTCTTTTCTGCAACCTGAGCATCTGGTATTTTCAAATTAGGCATCTTCTAAATTTGACTCATACATTATGGAAATCTGATGACACGAGGGGTGGATAGGCTTGCTTTGATTTTATGAAATATTAATCATAGCTATGATTAATGATTCAGCATTTCACATCTGGGTTATTCCTGTCATATTTGGAAATTACACTATTAAATGCAGTATATAAACTTAGTGTAGGTGGGGTCATTCTAATTCTCTAGTGTCCCTTAAAAATTAAGTGGAAACTTAACAATATACCAGAAGCTACCAGTGATAATCTGTGATGTTGACAGTTCCTGGCATATTTTATACCCTCAAGGATTTTTTGATGTAAATGAGAATGCATCTCTTCAGGGAGTTGAAGTTAGAGAATCTACTTTCCAGAGAACTGTTGTTTCTAACTAACAAAGGTAGAATCTCAAAAGTGGTTTTATTATGCAGAAGAGAAAGAATAAATAGAAGTGGCACACCAGTAAAATTGTTCAGATTATTAGATTCTTAAAAGCCATACCTCACCCCTGCTGCAAGCATCTTGACCATTGCTATGGGTAAGGCCCTACGCTGAGTGCCTGATCTACAGTGATATGTGTATATATTTCTTATGTAAAAGAGTGTACGTAGCTTGTAGTGTAGCTCAATGGCAGAAAGTGTGGTTGGCATGGGTAAAATCCTGGGTTAAATCCCTAGTCCCCAGTCCCCACAGAAAAGAAGTGAATGGAGAGGGTTAATGAGCACTGTGTATTTTGGGTGGAGGGATTATAACTGTCAAGTTGTAAGCTGTTGTCTTACATGAATGGGACTTACTGTGTTTGAAATTTGATATGTACTTTTCATGGATTGTTTTCTCTTCCACATTTTTTCTGATTATTTTACTTACACCATTTGTAAATTATCATGAATATAAATATAACACTAGAAAGAAATGACATCGTGAAAGAATGTTTCCAGAAAAATATAAACTAATGAAGATTGCTTAAAAGTCATAAGTGAAGCCTACACTTTGACTTGAAACCTATGAGGAAGTTCAGTTGTTATTATAGTTGTCATGATTACTCCAGAAAATTAAGGAAACCCTTTCAAGCAAAGGAGGTTATCTTATTACTGTAGTTGATGTTCTCATAAGTTCATATATCCATAGCTAGATTTGAAAGCATACCAGCTCTGACCTGTGGAGTCTCTGCATCTCAGGACTGTGGACCAGGCAGCTTCGAGGTGTGCTGCTGTCCCTTTACAGGAGCACCCAGGTATAGAAGTCGGGGGGGGGGGGGGCGAATTATAGAATTTTGTTCCAAGTTGAATGACAGGTCCTCTTCTAGATGTGGACTGTTGACTTAAGAATGATTTCTTTTTTACGTGTATCCTTTGCTGCTACAGCTGATGGATTTGTGCGTGAGAAGTAGCACTAGGGCAGTCACACTTACTTTCTTTGGGCACTAGGATCAAGTTAACTCTATTTGTCACTCTGCTGTTGTGTTAACCTGACTCCATTGTTCACACATCTCAGCTTGTACCCCTTAGATGCTCACTGGAACCCACCCTAGGTCTGGTAAGGCCTGAGAATTTACATTTCCAACCTGGTTTGGGTGTGGATGCTGCTGCCTCTGGTGTGGGTATTGAGCCTGTGGAAATACTGAGCTGGAGCAGTGGATTCCCTTCAGTTTGAGTCATGTGTGCCCACTGTCTAGCTCACCCTATTTTGTAGCTTCTAAGTGCAACTTTTTTCTTTTTTCTCTGCTTTTCCTTTTCTCTTCTGAACCATCAATTCTACTATTCTTACTGGAGGGAAAAAAAAAAAACTGAATCTCTCCAGTCAAAAGTTTTACATTCTTATTCATTGAGAAGTCCTGCCCATTGGGTATAATCTCAACTTTTCTCGCCTGTATTTACTTGAAGAAACTGACTCTTAATAATTACATCCTTTTTTTTTTTTTTCTTTTTAGCGTTCTTTTTGCCAATGAGAAAACCGGATTCTCAAAAAGAAAAAAAGACTGCAAAATGGAGATAGTGCCAAATTGCAAGCATTAGTTAATATGACAGTGGCAAAGAGACGTTTTAAAACAAACCCTCAGCAACATTATGAGGTCGTATTGCAGTCTACCCAAAACCCACAAAAATTGCTTCTTAGCACTTGAAATTATTTAGACTATTTGAGATACAGATGGATACCTCTGTCAGTAACAGGTTGTGTCTCCTGACTCTAGGTAATGATATTGGAAGTTAACATGATTAGTATATTAAAAATAAAAAGAATCATTTTTATCATCTCCAGCTCATCCTCCCCACCTACCTCTGCCCCCGCCCCCAATGCTCATGATAAATCCCAAGGCCTTGCACATGGCTAGGGAAGCACTGTACCACTGATGTCCCCAACCCCTAGCTCATCCTTTTAAAATGTCTGCCTATTCACGAGATACTAATGTGGTAGGTTATATACAGATTATAAGTGAATAAATGTGAACATAATTCAGTATGAGTCCTCAAAAAATTGTTTGCTCAGTCAAAAACGTTAAGAAACCATTGTGTTATTCTGCTTGTTGTAAACTCATTGCCTGGGATAACCCTATTGCAGTATTATTGCTTTTTTATAAATTGTAACTTTTTCTCCCATTGCAGATTTTTTTGATGATGAGAAAGATGCCTTTAAATTGTCATTATTTCCAGAACATGATTGTTTACATTAGAAAACCAGGAGTATATGCATTTCATTTTTTATAATTAGAGCTTTATAGTTATACATAGTATTTGCGTTCCTCTAGGCAAAAATCATACATCCATAGAATTTGATTTCAGTTCCTGATCCCTCTTTTCCATCCCGCCTCTCCTCTGTTCTCTTCCCTCTACTCTGCTGGGCTTCCTTTTACTAATATATTTACTTATATTTGATTGTTTTTTTCTTAATTTGAACATAAACATGAAATTCCCTGTGGTATTTCTATATAATGCATATAACGTGATTTTTTGAAGAGTTCATTCTTCATTGCCTCCCCCTTCCCATCTCTCCACTCTGCCTCTTGGTCTTCTACAATGCTGTCCCTGTATCTCTATGGTCTCCTGTCTTTCCCTCCTCCTTTCCTTTACTCTAGCTTTCACGTATGAGATTTTTGACCTTTGAGTTCCTGATTCTGGCTTATTTCACTTAGCATGATATTATCCATTTCCATCCATTTACCAGCAAATTCCATAATTTCATTTTTATGGCTGAGTAGAACTTCATTGTGTATGTATGCCCAAATTTCTTAATTCATTCATCTATTGATGGGTACTTAGGTTGATTCCATAATTTGGCTGTTGTGAATTGTGTTGCTGTAAGCATTGAGGTGGCTGAATTGCTATAGTATGCGGATATTAGTTCTTTGGAGAAAGTAACAAGGAGTGGGATAGCTGGGTCATATGGCGGTTCCATCCCTAGTGTTTTGAGAGGGATGCTTTCCAGAGAGGTTGTACTATTCTACAATCCCACCAACAATGTAAAGGTGTACCTTTTTCCCCCATCCTTGCCAGAAGTTATTACTATTTTCTTGATTATTGCCATTCTGACTGCAGTAAGATGAAATTTTAGTATAGTTTTGATTTACATTTCCCTGATTACTAGAAATATGTTTGATGGCCATTTGTGTTTCTTCTTTTGAGAAGTTTCTGTTTAGTTCTTTTGCCCACTTATTGCCCACTTACTGACTGGGTTATTTGCTTTTTTGGGGTGTTGGTTTTTTTTGAGTTCCTTATGTATTCTGGACATTAATTTACTATTGTTGGAGGAGTGACTGGCAAAGTTTTTCTCCAATTCTGTAGGCTCTGTCTTTATGCTCTTAATCATTTCCTTTGATATGCAGAAGATTTTAATATGATGTCATCCCATTTATTTATTCTTGGTTTTAGTTCTTGTGTTTTGAGGGTCTTGTTAAGGAAATCAGTGCCAACACCAATATGATGGAGTATTGACCCTATGATCTCTTCTAGCCGTTGCAAGGTTTCTGGTCTAATTCCTAATTTGACTTTTATGCTGGGTGAGAAGTAGGGATTAATTTCATTTTGTTATATGTAGCTATCCAGTTTTAAAATCTTCCATTGCATTTTAATAAGTGACACATATTCACAGTCTTTGTTTAAAAAGTAAATTAATAGAAGAAAATCAAAAATGGAAAATAAATATAATAGAAATTTACTTTTAAGGTATAAACTACATGGGGTGTGTTAAATACTATATAAAATTAAATGTTATATAAGTAGTTCAGCTATAAATGCTCTAAATTACTGGTTGTTCTCTAAGTTGAAGTACATAGTACAAATAAATAAATAAAGTACGTATTAATATGTAAACGATGGTTTTTCTTAAGGAAAATTTTTATCCTGTTTGTGAAACTCTTTAAGAAAAATGACTCACAGGGTTCTTGTTGTTTCAGCCATCCTCACTGAATGGAGTTGTAAATTCTTTAAAGTTATTTTTAAATCCACTTAAAGTGTGCTGTGATATGTACTAAATTCTCATTCACACTACTCTATCATCTTTTAGTTTGGATGAGAAACAGTTTTATTCAAAAGCATTTTCATTTTATTTACTCTGCAGCTAGACAAGAGGTCACATTAAAATAAGGAGTACTCACAGAGAAAAAATATAAACTATATCATAAGTAATAATGTACCATCTCTCTTATTTTAACTTGTATATTTTATTTGCTATAGGAAGTATACGGAAAGCTACTCCAGATAGAAAAACGTCAAAATCAGTTGCGAGCCAAAGATCTGCTTCCAGAAAAAAAGGAAACGAAGTAAGTTCTTGTCTTGCATTAGAGCATATGTAGATTTTGAACTCTACATGCTACGTATTGATGTATCTAAAGCCTAAAATTTAGGATTCCATGTAATAGGTTATTTATATTTAGGAAGAAGCAAATATTGAGGTTATTTTTCTGCTACTTCAAGATTTACGTATTAAATTACTGTGTTTGGATTTGATGTCCTTAGAAATTTTATGTGTATGGCTGCACATTTATTCAGCATTTGTGTGCTTTCTGATTTTTTCTTTTGTGAGGCATTTCAAGGCTTGTACTTCCATTTGGCAAGCAGTAATAGATCAGATCCATCAGCCTGTACAACCAATGTTAAATTTTGGCCTAGCTATTCATGTTTCTTCTTGTGTGAAAGATAGATTTCTGAACACACCTTAAGTTGTGTGTTCCTAGTCCTTTATTTGGACTTTATTACTACTTTTGTTCATAGATGGGTTAACTTTGTGTCTATAACATCTTCAGAATAAATTATATAGGCACAGTTTTAATCTTTTCAGAATTCTGATGGCTTTCAGGTAAGTTTCATGATGGCATATTTATTTAACTCTTCAAACAAAACATTTGGTGGTGTTAGAACCTTTTCTAAACTAGATTGAGGAAACAGAATAGTATTTCTGAAAAGTGGTTTCCTTGGATGAACATACTACTGTGTAATATGAAAATTTGTTTTCAGATCATGAATTGCTCTTATAGGTGAGATCTTTTGTGATATAACACTAATTGCATGGTTAATTAAAAAGAGAATATATGTGATATTTTAACAGAGATCTGATTGGCAGCAGATGGCTGATTAAGGAGGAACTAGAAGAAATGTTAGTGGAAAAACTGTCAGATCAAGATGTGAGTAATTAATCTTTTCAATTTAAGGAGACCTGTGTCATAAGAATGCAGACAATTGCTGTATTAAGGATCCTAATAGTAATAGTCCTTAGAAGCAGGTGTGCCTTGGACAATTTTTCTCTTTGAAATGTATTCCTTGTCAATTTCTGCCACGGGAGGAGAGCCTTATCTGTGGTAAGGAAAGTGCCATGTCCAGTCTCCAGCTCCTCCTCTTATAAGTGCCCTCATGTCCTCTGCCAGTTGTTATAGAGGAGTGTAGCAGATGTCATTTTTGTCTCCTTCAGTGAGACTGGTAGCTAATTTTACAAGCTAATGATGAGTGAACAGAGCCATTGCAGGTTAAGTAGAAAAGGAATGTCGCACACGGAATTTGCAGATTCCTGGCTCATCACATGTGCAGCGTCTGAAAGGTCAGTGGTTTTCACCTTGGGATCTCTAAACCACATGTGTCATAGTCCCTTGGAGTGTTCTTTACAACTGCAGTGTCCCTAAGCCTCACCCTCAACCTGGGGCAGATCTCGAGGGGGTCACCCAAAAATCGATCTCATTGACACACTCCCCAGGTGAAACTTATGCCCTATGAAGTTTGGGACACTTTCATCCTTCCTCAGACCTTAATTGCAGTCTTATTTTGTTAATGTTCTAACATAGCCTGACGTGATCAGAAGTAGCTTGATGTTTTAAACATTTTGATGTTCTAAATTGTTTGACTCTCTGTTAGATTCAAGTGGAGATAAATCTCACAAATCCTCCCAAGAAAGATTATGTTCTTCCATGGCAGTGGCTGGCATTGTTAGTGCCTGCCACCATGTAGATTCTAAGTCACGTTCTTCGGTTGCTCTTTTTCTTTTTTAGCATATTGTAGACATTAATGATTTGGAAAAGTTGCAACTTCCTTAAACAAGGTGTCAGACATTTGGTTAGTGGTAGATCTGGAGTTGATTTCTAACATCCTAACTGCCAAATATTGCTACACTTGAATCAAATTGAAAAATCTCTTTGCTTCTTCATCAAATGCATCATTCCATTATTTCTTTTGTTTTCTAACTGCTTTGATTTTTTTTTTAATTCAGGTATTTTTTTCCCATTTTGGAACTATTCCAAGGATTAATACATTCATGCAATTATGAAAATAAAACAAAAGTATATGATAATCTTTTATACTTTTGGGATACTGAATATGTAGAAGAAATCCTGAAGTTTGTGATTGGCATCAAACCAATCAGTGACTTCTTAAACTTTAAGCTTAGTTTACAAGTAAGGCTTTTATACCTGTAAGTGACCCTTTGCAGTTTAAAGAATGGTCATCAGGAGTGTGTGAGATGGAATTCTTAGAACAAAGGACACAGGCCAGTGAGTGGAGGGGAGGATGGATCTCTGTCAGGCCCAGGACCACAGGTGGCTTAAGTATTTTCACCCTTCCTTGGAAATTTGCCTTTTCTGTTATTAAATCATAAAAAAGCTGTATTTGAAGAAGTTTCTTTAACATTAATTTTACCAAATTCCTCAATACTTTAAATTATTATTGATAGATTTTCACTATAAAGGCAAATGGTGACAAAATTGAGTACGATTTTTTAGGGTTAGCCAAAAAAAAAAAAGTTATCAAAAATTGGATTCACAATCCATATTAACTAAGGATCTCAAGTATTAGTTGTTTCCTTCTCCATAAACACTTTAGAATGATTATTCTGGCTTCTAATTTTAAGGGGTTAATACCAAGTTGTTTACTTTCTAATCACATGTTCAAGAACTATTAAAAAAAAATGCACAGAGTAGCAAGGATAATTTATTTCAAGAGGTTGCCCTTTAAGTCAAGTATCTCTTGAATTTTTAAATAGCTTGATTGTTCAGTTTTAAAGGAAATCATAAACATTAAAGTAACACAGCTTGAACAGCCAAAAATATATTTGCCAAATGTATTATGAAATATAATTTAAGAGGTGCATTTTCTCAAAATCAGACTCTTTCCATTTTACTATACATAACTTACTGAAAATTATTTCTAATGTTTCTTTTGATACAGTTCTAATAAAAGAGTGGAAATTACACTTGAAGATCTTCTAAATATTTTTTTGAAAATTAATTTAAATCTAAATTTCATAATTATAATCCAGAGAAACTGATTTTTCTTTGAATGATAAATCTCTTTGTTTCTCAAAAGAAAAAAACTTAGCACTAAAGATACACAGGAGAAGTGATGCATCTGCATGCTGTTTTAAAAGCAGCATGAAGATGCCGAAGTGTCATCCTGTCAAAATTCATCAAGAAAAGCAACATTGGAAAGATCAAGTATATAAAAATAGAAAAAATCTAGCAAATGCAATTACACTTGCATCTTCTAATGAATTTTTATTGTCTGCAGTATATGCAGTTCATTCGGCTGCTAGAAAAGTTATTGACATTGCAGTGTGATCCTGCTGAAGAAGAATTTGTGCAGAAGTTTCGCAGAAGTGTAGCTATTCAATCAAAAAAACAGCTGATTGAACCTGTGCAGTATGACGAGCAAGGAAGGGCCTTCAGCACAAGTGAAGGTAATGACATTCCATGAAGAGAAAATGAATTTGGCGAAGACTGAGAAGCTCTAATTATTTTCATTTGCTATTGCTCTGTGGTATCCATTTGATTTGCTTTTGCTACTGCTACGTTGGATTTCCTAATTTCAAGATTCTGTTGAAGTTTTCAAAATCTTACAGTTTAACTAAATCTTACAGTGTCCCAAGAAAAAGAGTGAATACATACCTACCCAGTCGTGTCAACTATTATGTTCATATTTTCAACTGGAAGAATCAATAAAATGTTTATAATAAAGGTTTCTTCTCAAAAACTAAAAAATGCTCAGTGAAATACATGTCAGATGAAAAAACTATGTAACATGAAAACTTGACCCTCTACTCACAGTTTTGTTGTATATGTACAGACATTTGACACGATCTGTCTTGTAAGAATTGACCTACTAGATTATATTTTGCAGCTCTCAAAAATTTAACATTATCCCTTTGTCATTTTCAACTATTGTACTGAATGAAATGTGACCTTTCCTGAGGATTCCTTTCTTTTCTACCATTTACATGTTATTACGGTATTCACATATTTTAAAAAATTTGTATTATGAGGTATATTCCTATTAATTATAAGTGAACATTATGTAAATTGCTTTTTTAAATAAGATAACTGAATTGACTATGTTGACTGTTGAAACTAAAATAATTGCAGTGTTCTAAAAGAAAAGTGAAGATCACAATTACCCCACAGAAACCACTTACCTGTCTTCCTTTTGTTTTACTTGTAGAACGTTCCTAAAAACAGTGTTATAGATTGCTCTTCCAGGAAAACTAATTTTAATGTAGTTTTGTCTTATTTCAAGGCCCAGGTTTTTAAGATGTATACTAATAGGAACTTTAAATTTTTAAAGGTAAAAGAAAGACTGCAAAAGCAGAAGCACTTGTTTATGAACATGGAAGTGGAAGAATAACAGTGAATGGAGCCGATTACCTGCTGTACTTTCCAATCACACAGGACAGGTTTGATTTTTATTTAGCTTGTTGTGTAAAGAAAATATGCTCTAGAATATGTCATTATCGATTAAGAAGCCTTGTTGTTTTCTAATTCTGTTTGATTGTGTCTCTTTACTAACATATCAAACTAGCCAAATGGACACTTTATTTTTCTGTAAGCAGATTTTTGAAAAAGCATCTCTGTAAATCCTCCTTAATTGACTCTTGCCCCTCTGTTAGATCATGCTGGAATTTAAGTAGTCTTAAATCTTAAATAGATCTTACATTCGGAAATGCAGGTCAAGCCAAAACATAAGCAAAGCAGATTCCCATTTTCTGGTTTGGGGGTGGCTGCACACAAAGCAACACAGCAACCACAGAAACTGACCTTGGCTCCTGTACCTGCCTTAGGCCACGGGTAGGGAAAAGTACCAGCACATCACTTGTGGTTTATGTTTGTTTTTCCTGACCACAAATACTAGAAAAAGTCAGCTTTATTTTTTTGGATTTTTTTCCCTTTTAAAAGAAGTTGATTGTACATATATTGAGCAAGCAAAGAAGCCCGTTTCTGTGAGATACAAAATGTTTATAAGTTAAAATAAGAGCTCATCAGCTTTGCTTAGTTTTCAGTGCTAAATATGGCAGTCATATTTTTTAAACTTTGTATTTCATTCATCATAAGTAGATATTACAGTTTTTCTAATCCCTAAATGTACTCCTCTTAGAGCTCTCTGAGAGTCCCTATATAAAGGCCTCTTCTTGAGACGGTTATTATTTTTTCAGTAGTTACTGTCATTATCCATGAGTAACAGAAATTCCATGATTAGTTCCTCCTTCCTAATCCTTTTCCTATATCCTGAATGTACTGTGGCAGTACATTAAGGTCAAAAGACTGAAGCTTCTCTGATCCCAGTGCTCACGTAAGGAAAAGGGGACTGTTCTAACATGGTGTAAGCTTCTGGACAGAATAATTACCTCGGGAATGTATGTTTGTTATGTTTGTGTGCCTGCATCAAAAAATGGCCCACTCTGAACTCTGTTTAATATCAATTAAACTAACTCTGCAGTCGTCCTCACAGGGAAAAGGGTGGAGGAAGTTCTCATTTCCCGTAGGAAAACCCAGAGACCCTTACTGCTGGGTATGGGAATTTCAGCCCTGGGAGCCACGAGGAGGAATGGCATTTGACTATTACTTGAATTCAGATATAACTCATGATGATTTAGTAGCATGTCCCACTATGGCTTGGTCTCGCAATTATATCACCTCCTCAGATCTTATTCTTCAGTTTGAATCAGCAAATATCAAATAAGGATTGTCTCTGTGCCTAGTCTTGTTCTGGGCATTATGAAGATAACTGCTGTTTTCAGTGTGATTCCTGTCATCAAGAACTTGGGTTGGGAGCCTCAGGCTAGTCTTGGTGGGATCAAGCCCCCAAGCCTTCTCACCAACTTAAGTAGTTGTAGGGATTTGGTGGTGGCCCCACCCGTCATGGACTGGCCATCCTTTTTAGGAGTGAGTGGCACAGGTACTTACTTAGTCAGCAACAAAGTGACCTCTGACCAGTAGGAAGACCACAGAGTCAAGAGCCAGGAATCTTGATTCTATTCCTGGTTATTATCTCTGTGACCTTAGCCTTTACAACAAGTGTGTGTGACTATGTGCCTGGTAGTGTGGGATACTTTCAGCAAAGGCCTGTGCTCTGTTAGGCAGCCAGGTAAGAGGCACTTTACCTAGTCATCGCTACAGATGAAACAGTTTCTTCACACGGTGCCAACCATGTAAGAGAGGAGACAAATTAGCATTTTAATCAATTACTGAAAAATAAAAGACTATTTATTTGGTGCCAGAAGAGTAGAATTCAGATGGTATGTAAACAAGAAAATCATTTATTTTATTTATTATTTTAAAAATTATGCTGACTGACAAAGAATAAAGTAAATGTGATTCTCAGGATTTCATCTGTGATTCGTGAGAGACAATGCATTGTGAAATAACTTCATGCCATGTAACTGTATTTACGTGTGCTAGTTTGCAGTCTAAGATAGTTAAAATTGATAGCAGTATAACCATCATTTTCAGTTGTTAACCCTATAGGGCATTTTTTCACCTGTACACAAATTTGTCATTGTACCACAGAATCCCACCACCTTCCAGCTGCCCAGATTCTTTATGGTTCTTTCTTACCTTGACCACTCTGGCTTCATTACTTATATATCTCTGAAATCTGTGTTTTCTGAATTTTAATCTCTTTATAAGTGTTTGTTAGGTAATCTTAAAATGTTAGAAAGTAAGGACAGGTGTCTAAGCTCTCAGACGCATGGCTGTCCAGGATCTTTACTTCCTCTGCAAACCCCATTTACCTGTTGCGGGGTGCAGCCACCTCCCCCAGTGTATGCACATGACAATCCCATAGATTTCGTCTTGGCTTCTGTTTCCTCCTGGGAAAATGCAGTGGTAGAGTTGAATTATCAGTTTCTAAATTTTGTTTAGGTATGATCATATGGATACTACTTTAATACTACTATTTCCATAATATGGATTGTTTGGATTTGGTTGCTTTGAAGCCTTTTTTTAAAAAGGCAATATAGATTTGTGTGTTTTGTTGTCTGAGGGGTTATGTCATCCTGTATAGTACTATTACAAATCCAGTTTGCTATGGCCTTGGAGGGTTGTTGGTAGCCCATCTGCCTGGGGTTATTCTGCTCTTAAAATGTAAAAGATGGCATTTGAATATCTTACCACGTGCATCTCTCAGCTTAACTGTTGAATAAGTTTGATTTGGGGTCTAAAGCGCTGTGTCGGGCAGAAAAAGCAAATGCATTGTAAATGGACTTTCCTAAATAAAAATTCTGGGATGACAGTGGAACTAGCTCTGTGGTGGAGTGCTTGCCTGACATACTTACACAGGACCCTGGGTTCGATCCCTAGCACCATGAAAAAAAATAAAAATTCAGCAGATATATTAAGGCAAAATAGCAAAATCAAAGTCCTTGTCAAAGATGGTAGTGACATCAGACCTGGCACATAAGTGGTTTTCAGTAAATGCTCATTCAGTTGAGCAAAGAAGCTGCAGGCCTTTTCCTTGCCATCCTCTCTGTGGTGTTGGCTTAGGACCACGTGGGCATCACGGTTCCCAGGGAGCAGGCCAGACGGCGGCTGTGCAACTTAGTGAACTGCCATTGGACTGTGTGTTCTTTTTGTGGAGGAAGAGTTTTAAATGTTGTTTTGTTGACTTTAAAAAGTAACCATGTCAAGTTAAGCAGTATACATTATGCAAATACATTATAGTATACTTGACTTAGAAAATCCAAATGGCATTTGATGATTACTTGGTTAGGCCTATTAATTTTATATTTGATCATTGAATCTAGAGAGGGTAGATTCAGTTGATTAATGCAGTCTCCCAACTTCAAGACTTTACGAGGTTATTTTCACGCCTCACGAAGTTCTCATGAGACAAAGGAAACCAATAACCAGTAAGAGAGTGTATTGCCATACTCTGTAAGTGCATTGCTATATACAAAAAAAAGAGAGAGAGAGAGAGAAAAAAACCTTACAATCTTGGTGTGATGAATTGATTGACAAGAAGTTTGAAAGGTGACATTGGCATGCAACAGTTTTTAGAAACACTCAGAATGCCAACAGTGTATGTAGTCCTGTATCTTTATAGTGGAATTAACTGGATTTATTTGTGATGTGCTTTAGAGAACAGTTGATGTTCCCTTTTCACTTCCTTGACCGCCTTGGAAAACACGACGTGACCTGCACAGTCTCAGGGGGCGGGAGGTCAGCACAGGCAGGAGCAATACGCTTGGCAATGGCAAAAGCCCTGTGCAGCTTCGTCACCGAGGATGAGGTCGAGTGGATGAGACAAGGTATGCATTTGGGTGGGACACTGTGCTGTCCCCTCTACCTACAGGTATTTCCTGAGTCTTGTCCTGGTGACCTGAAATCTGGGAGAGAATACTTGGTTCACCATGCAATCTTACAGCTTGTCAGCTGCTCCTTTCATGCTCCAGAATTGTACAGTATTTTTCAGGTTTGATTTCTACAAAGAGAACTTGAATTAGAACAAGAAAAGGGGGGCACACTCCCTGTGATGTCTGCTAAAATATCCAGTCCAGAGGTTGGGAAGGTTGACTTTGGCTTTAAGACAGATTGCTTGTTTTTCTCTTACCATAGAAATTTGTAATTTGCTTGGTTAATGATAAAGCACTTTAGGCATTTCTGTCCAAGATTAATGGAGATTTTAATTTTTTCCATTATGATGTTAATGTGAATTTTTTTTACTCGGTATGGCCCTGTCACTTGAGCAAGAATCTTCGCACTGTGGGGAAAAGAATGTACACTTGATTCTTTCATTGGGGTACTACCTGGCATTCATAATAAACCTAAGGTTTGAGCCAAAGGTTGTCTTTGCATTGAGAGGATCCAGTGCTGTGTGTCCTGTGACCTGCTGCACAGCCCCGTGCGAGTTGCTTAGCACCTTGGTTCACAGCCCCTCTCTGCCAGGGAAGGTGATCTGCCTGCTCTCTACCTTCCAGCAACCGCCTCTGGGATCCAGGATAGGCACGGCCTGTGGCTTTGGCTACTTAATTTTTTGTCTTTTGAAAATCCATTTGCTTGTAAACAACTTGCCATTATATGGATTTATTATCTTCTCATTATCTACTACTATGAAGTAATTTGATAGGATATGACTTAACTAGTCTGGACTCCTCTACATATCTGAAAGTAATAAAGCATTATTACTAGGAATTTAAACTAGAACTTAGACCTTATCAGTATTTTGGACAAAATATTCCATGTGTGCCCTTTAAGTACAAGTAAGTGCAAAAGATTATATAATAAGCTTTCTTTAGCTATCTGGCCATTAAAATACCCCTGATAAAATACCTATGCTGAGCTGGGGCTGTGGCTCAGCGGTAGAGCGCTCGCCTAGCACGTGTGAGGCACTGGGTTCAATCCTCAGCACCACATAAAAATAAAATAAAGATATTGTGTCCATCTACAACTAAAAAATAAATATTTTTAAAAATACCTATGGCATGTATCAAATGAAGAGAAGTGCTAGTGTTGAAGGAGCAAAAAAGATGAAAGAAAAACCTTCGTCTATTTCTTTGTTTACAAAAGCAGCTTCCAGGGGTTCTCCTGGTGGTTTCTGGGAATCCGGGTTTTTGCTCACATACCAAGGCTCCAGCCACTGCTGGGGTGCTTCCATGTGGACCATCTGCTGAGAGTAACTCAGTGATTGTCTGGAAACATAATTGCTCCTGAGGATTAAGGGAGAGGCAGCTTCCAATTTAAACTGACTTCATCCTTCTAGAATAAACTACATGGCACAGAGTACAACTCCAAAAATGGTTATTTACGTTCTGAAACAAAGTATCAAGGACTATAATTTTCACAGAAATTATCATAACACACAGTTTTTTCCTCATGTTTGGCAAGTCCTGTTTGTACACGTTTGTTCACGTACGTACACTGCTGAGGTGTGTTGTCCGTGGGCTTCCTCCCTACCTCTTGCCTCCATTGAGACTCTCACCTCATCACTAACAGGTGTGCAGGGGGAGGCCCTTGGGGTGAATCGCAAGCGCCCACAGAGAGTAGTTTCATCTGAGTTGAACAAGTTTTAAAAACCAAAAAGGAGTCATACCGCAAAGCAGTCTCGACATCACTGATGTTTGTCTCAGAAATTGAAAAAATGTCCCAGGAGAACGAAGGCAGACCGCCATCCTGAGGCTCTCCAGGGCTGCTCAGTTATTGGGGTCTGGCTGCGTTCCTGTGGGTCTTTCTGACAAGAGTTCCGTGGATTCTTGTGGTTCACCTACTTTTCTGCCGGACAGCCTGTATTTTCACAAAGCTCACAAAGGCTTCTCTCTTCCTGCTGCAGCTGGACTACTTACTACAGATCCACGTGTCAGAGAGCGGAAGAAGCCAGGCCAAGAGGGAGCCCGCAGGAAGTTTACCTGGAAGAAGCGCTGAAGGCTGGGGAAGGGGCGGGAGGGCCTGGTGTGGGGGGAACAGGCTCGGTCCGCATCTGCCAGCCAACGTGAGGGCAGCACTGGCAGAGATTTGAGTTGTGAGATGATTTTTTTTTAAAAGGCTGCTTTGAAAAGTTTACGATTAATAAATAAGTTGTAAAAAAAAAAAAAAGGATGCTTACTTCATTCTTCTACTTAAACTTTTTCAAAAGATAGTTTTAGAAGCATAATTCATAAAATCTTGGCATATTAGACTTGAAAGGAACATTCAGCAAAATCTAGTCAAGTTACCTCATTTTGCAGATGAGAAGGCTCAGTTTCAAAGATTAAGCAGCCTACCAGAGCCAAACCATTGCTAATTTAATGCTAGACCTAGACTAGAACTCATTTTGCCTGGTTCTGTTGTTTTCCCACACAGCAGTTGCTACAATGTTCTTTTGAAATTGAGAGGTGAGAGTGACGTTCAGAAGAATGAGCTGACTTAGGTGCCTGTGCCAGGAGCTTAGCGAGTGGGAGAGAGCTGAGCTGCAGCAGAAGGCTGGTGACCACCGCAGCCAGGTGAAGGTCACAGGTGAGCCTTGATCACCCACTGTGACAGAGGGAACAAAAGGCTAAACTCATTTTTGAATCAGTTTTGTATGGAAAGTTTTAAAAATGATCTTTTATTATATGTATGTAAGGTGTAAGATACCGTGCTTTGGTATACATAGTGAGATGACTACTGTAGTCAAGCAAATTAACATACCCATCATCTCAAATAGCTCCCTTCCTTTTCCAGAAAGATCACCTAAAATCTCTTCTCATGGCAAATTTCTAGTGTGATACAATATTATTAATCATCATATTGTACATTAGATTCCTAGACTATTTCACATAACTGCTATTTTTTATCCTTTGACCAATATCTTCCCATTCCCCTCCCCCCCAATTTGGTAAGCACTCTTAAAGATTTTGCCTCTAGGAGTTTGGCATTTTTAGATTTCATAGCAAAATTCCATGGTGCAGTATTTGTCTTCCTGTGCCTGACTTATTTCACTTACCATAATGTCCTCTTTTTGTATCAAATGGCAGGATCTCCTTAAGATTGGAAGATATTCCACAGAGAAGAGATCTATATATCTGTATTAGTCAGCTTTCTGCCTCTGTGACAAAATATGTGAGATAAACAACTTAAGAAGAGGAAATATTTAATTTGGTTCATGGTTTGGGTCCATGATCACTTGGTCCTGTTTCTCTGGGCCAAGGGCAGAGCAGAACACAATGGCGGGGGTGGGGGTGGGGGGGTGGAGCAAACCTGCTCACCTCACAGTGTCTAGGAAGCAAAGAGAGGAAGAGGCCATGGTTCCAATAGTCCCTTGAAGGGCACGCCCACAATGGGCCAACTTCCTTTGCCTAGGCCGCCACCTCTGAAGGCTCCACTGCCACCTATGGTTATGCCATAGGGTGGCAACCAAGCTCTAAACACATGGACCTTGGGGACATTTTAAGATCTACATCCTGATAAGCATAGTTTCTTTATTAGATCTGTTTTGGATTCCATTTAAAATCAGCAAAATGTGAGAGAGCATCTTCAAGATCCTCTCCCTGGAGGCCTTGGCAAAGGTAGCTGAGGAAGGACTGGGCCCAAGGGGACAGGTGCAGAGGCATCAGAGTGAAGACATCTGGGCTAGGAGGGCCACTGTGCAGTGGCCTGTGGGATGGGGGAGCAGGCTGTGTTCCTGGTAACCAGCAGAGTCAGGCATGGCAGCAGTGCTCCAAAAACCTTTGTAATTGGTTACAGCCAGACATCAGCAGTCACACACAGGTGTCTGGCCAGGAGCTGGACTCCTTGGTCAGGACTGTTACATTGAGGAATTTGCTCAAGGATTCCTAAGGTCCCTTAAATGAAGAAACTTGCATTTTAACCTTGATGCAATTTTGCATGTGTTTTTTGAGTGGGCTACTTTTGAATCTGCTTCAATGCAATTGGTTTAATTAAGAATTTAGATGTAGTTCAGTGATAGAGCGTTGCCAAGCATGAGCAAACCCGGACACCATCTCCAGCATCACACACAAAAGAGAGACCCTCAGTTTTCCTTTATGTAGACAATTCTATAATATGTATATCTTCAATGTTGTAAGAAATGTTGGATAAGTTCTGAGATATGTATGTGTACATATCAAAAATCCTTACCTAGTAATATCAAAAAATGGAAGTAAGGACCATCCTCTGGTGCCCAATGCATTCTTTATCTCAGATGAAATTGCAGAAATGCTTTCCGTGCTTCCTGCTCCATAGCAGTCATTCTCAGGTGACACTTAGCCTCTGTCTGTTGGCACATGCCTCTTACTGCTTTGACAAGAGAAATGACGAGGGCTTCCCCCCCCCACCCCCGTGTGGTGGGGTGTGTGCAGGTGGTGTGGACGATGTGAGGTTCTGTCAGCCTTTGTGGTGTGCCTGCCGAGCCCTCGCCATTCCTGGTGTGGGGGGGACAATGCTGAGCTGACTGCAGCCTATGCTATCTGGTTCTGGTGTCAGTGACAGGGAGGAGACAAAACATGGTAAGTGGAGACCCAGGTGTTGTCATGATAAAACCAGGAGGGAGACTGAAGACCAGGCCTTGAAGGAGGGTAACACCTTGATGAAGAGGCAGGGAGAGGACTGCAGGAGGCAGTGGTGAGGAAGGAAGTCGGGATGTGCTGGGAACCAAAGGCTGCAGGCCTGGGGCGCTGGGGACGAAGAGCTCAGCAAGGAAGCCTCCAGGAAAGAGCTGAGGCTGGCGGGCATGGGGACACATTGCACTGTACTGCCATTTGGGAACCACTGAACCTTTGTTTTTTCCTGAGAGAATACAGTGAGTCAAGACTAGAACTATGGTTTTAATCTATATTAAGCAGAAATTATATATACATTACTATATATATCTAGATATAGTAATGAGATGATACTAGAACAGTGGATTCAAACTTTATTTTAGCAAGATGTCCCCCTTTTAAAAAAATATATATATTTATGAAATATATACGCATGTATTTACATATATTTTTATATGTATATGAAGTAGGGTCATAGTATTTAACAAGCAGCTGAGCCTTGTTAAGTCTTGCCTTCCTATGAGGCAAATCTCCTAAACCCAGAGCTCCAGGAAAAAGGCTTAGGAAATCTGCTCCAGCAGGCTAACTGAGCTATTGCAGGAGCAGGGGGTCCAAAGAAGCAAGACCTAGCAGGAGTAGGCCAGGGAGCCGGCCAGGACAGCACGGAGGACAGGAGGGAGGGTGGGTGGCAGAAGTGTTTCTGAGGTCATCTGGACAGATGTGATACCTGATTGACTGTAGGGAGTACAGATGTTAAATGTGAGTCAAGCAGAACCCTGGGGATGTCAAAACTAAGAACACTGGAAGAAAAGTTCGGTGGGGGGCGATACCAGAGGAGTCAACTTGAATTTTGTTGGGGCTTAGATGTTTAGGAGCCTCCTCAAACACCTGAAATGCTTGGAACCGAGAGGCTGGGACTTGGAGGAAGGGTTGAGCTGCCAACAGAGTGGGCAGGTTGTCACATGGAAGGGGGATTGGAACATGGGCTGGGATCAGCCAGGAGGGAAGGAGATGAAGGCTCAAGCCTGGAGAAAAGACTTGAACCTGCGCAGTCAGACACAGGGAGAAGAGCAGCAAAAGGAGGAGGAGCGGCAGAGGAAGAGAAAAGCCGACCTCAGGTTTCCTGGAAGTTGGAGGGCAACCAAGGAGAGGCCCTGGGAGAGGAGGAAGTACAGGCCCTAGTGCTGGGTCAGAAGGAAATGCAGCTTCTTCGAGTTCTACCAGTGGTTCTACCTGTGTCTTGATTTCCTCACTTCAACCTGGGTTCCATTTTCTGTCCTCCCAGCCCTGCCTGCCATTTTTGTGACAGTGAAGTAAAAAAAGCACATTAGAAGCACCGAGCTATCTGCACTGGTGCCACTGTGACCTAGGAACTGGGGAGGGGCATTGTTGAAGTGAGGCAGCCAGGCAGAGGATCAGAGCACACCCAGGCTCACCCTCATCCCTTTGTGCAGGCTTGGGACAGGCTCTTTTGTCCACAAGTTCCTGCTGGAGCAGGCAACAGTCAGTTCCCAGCCCTTGATTCCCTTCCTTCTCAGACACCCCAGCTATCTTTGGTGGAAATGCCTTGTTATGATTTGGGTGTGAGGTGTCCCCAAAAAACTCATGTGTGAAACAAGTCAGGAAGTTCAGACAAAAAAAAAATGATGGGTTGTGAGAGCCTTAACCCAATCAGTGAATTAATCCCCTGATAGGGAGTAACTGAGTGGAACTGAAGGCAGGTAGGGCGTGGCTGGAGGAGGTGGGCATTGGGGCCGTGGCTTTGGGGTATATGTTTTGTATTGAGGAGTGGAGTGTCTGTCTCTTCTTCCTGATCATCATGTGAGTTGCTTCCCTCTGCCACACTCCTCCACCATGATGCTCAGCCTCACCTTGAGCCCTGAGGAATGGAGCTGGCTCTCTGTGGACTGAGACCTCTGAAACCATGAGCCCTCAAATAAACTTTTCTTCCACTAAAATTGTTCTGGTTGGGTCTTTTAATCACAGCAGTGCAAAAGCTGACTAAAACATGCCTATTGGGCAGTATTTTCTGTGTTCACACATTGGGAAAACCGCCCAGGACTATTTTTTAAAATGATCATTGGATCAGATGATTGTCTTGAGATAGCAGCAAGACTCCTACTCTGTGCCAAGTCCTGTTGTAAATATTTTAAAAATAAGAACTCTTCCAAGGGGCTAGGGGTGTAGCTTCTTGCTCAGTGGGAGGGCACATGCTTAGCTGTGTGAGTCCCTGAGTTCAGCCCCTAGCACCAAACAGAGACAATGTATTTATTCAGTCCTCCCTGCAACCCTGTGTGGTAGATACTGAGAAAATCAGCCCTCAGGGAGGTTAAGCAACTTGTCCTAAGTCATACATCCAGAGAGTGCCCAAGCCAGGTGGACACCTAGAACCTGGTTCTGGAGCTGGTGCTCTGAGCCTCTGTTGGGGGACACCATCAGGAGATCATAGTAGGAGGCCTGGGCTAACATGTTCTGCCACTTGGTTTGGTACAGTTCAGAAGACCTGATAGAGAGGGCAGAATTTACGCCTAATCCTAAAGGATGGGTGAGTACTGATTAATTAGCATTTATAATCTGCTCTGCAACT